TTCTGGAGGTGATTTTGATGACTTCCACGCGAATGGCTTCCTTCAGTTCTTGCAAAGAACAGGCTCATATACACATGCCTTGAGGTGCTTTACAAGAAATAATTGCACATGGATAGGTCAGATGAACAAGAAGACTAATAGTGAGGTTGTGGCCGAAGTTTTCAATGCAAAAATGTGTACATCGGACGTTCAGCGCCGCCATCCTGTAAGCCTAAAAGTTTGACAATGGTGTTTGGAATGTCGAGCATGATTCCACTGATGTTCCATCATTGTCAAACTTCTAGACTTACAGGAAGTAAGTCTAGAAGTTTGACAATGATGGAACATCAGTGGAATCATGCTCGACATTCCAAACACCATTGTCGAAGGTGGCGCTGAACGTCCAATGTACACATTTTTGCATTGAAAACTTCGGCCACAACCTCTCTAATGAATGTTACTGTACCTGGAAATGAGATGACCAGGTAAGAGACAATCAATAATGTCAATTGATGTTCTAGCTGTGTGGGATGACACCCTATCCTGTTGAAACCACACACATCTGATGGTAATACATTTCCATCGTACATAAGGATGCGGAAATGTATTCCCATCAGATGTGCATGACTGACTGATTCCCTTTGCATACAACTGAGGAAACAGTCGTATGCAAACACATGGTGTTCTATCATCTACAGCTCCATGCCTTCACCCGAAAAGACAATGCTAAGACCTCACTACTTTCATGCTACCTGCCACAAATCTGCCACTCTAACTGGTGATGAGTTCTAGCCACTTCAAAAATGTCCATCCTTTCTTCCCCACCCTGTATAATGTTATTTAGAATGTAGTGAAGTGTAGTAAAGTTTTCTTTAATATTTTGTTTAATAAAATATTATACAAGTATTTTTGTCTTAAGTAGTAGTATTTAAATTATTATGTTCTATATTAAGTAATAGAGAATGCTTAACTCTATGGAATTCTTTTCACTAACTCAACTTTCGCAAAACTTGATAATAAAAATTACTTAACTGTGGATTTTTTAAAATTGTGATTCTTAATTTTTTTATTTCATACTAAAGTTTCATTTACTTAAAGCATTAATTTAAAAAAACTTTTTCAAAATGCAGAATTTTTTTTATAAATTCACAAGAATCTTGTGAATATCCTTGAAAAGGATTTTTATCAGTTCAAAAGTATTAAGGAAAGTGTTATATTTTGTTTGACAAAATTTTTTTGTAAATTTGTAGTGTTTTCTTGGGTTTCTTAAAATTTTTTTACATTATTAAAATAGTTTAATCATAAATAAAATGTGTTTACAGACTCAAAGTTCTTTGGTACATAATATAAATATATTGATATAAAATATTAAGCAACTAGCAGGTAGGCCCAGCGTTGCTCAGGCAAAAATAACGATAGCGAAGATTAAGATTAATACGTTATAGTCAACCTTTCCCGTTTTCACAGAATGCAAGAATTGGGTCCCCCTTCTTCCGGACTAATTAGAGAATTTTTAGATGGGTCTAAAAATATGTTCAATTTCCCGCAAAAATGAAAAAACTGCATCTGCGTCTTGCATGTTGCTTTCTCTTAATAATTCCGTTGTTACGTAACACTTCCATTGTTAACACTTTTATTGTTACTTAATACTTCCATTGTTACTTGACACTTCCATTGTTGATGGAAGTGTTAAGCCTTAATTCTGTCCCTTTCCCCTGTTGGGAGGTATTTTGAAAAATCCCTTCTTAGTGTGCATTCTCATGACATACCCTAACTGTGTATGAAATTTCAACTTTCAACTCCTAACTGTTTGGACTCTGCACTGATTATTATTATCAACTTGTATCAATTATATTAAGCAATTAAACTTCTTAAAATACATATATGTGTAGACTAAAGATATTTATAAAATAGTTTCATTGTGTATTTTAGAGGAATTTTGAATTACAAAATAACAGAAATGAGATAATAAAATTGTATAAATGTTTTCATTACCTAGTATAAAGAATGAGAAAAAATAAATAAACTTTTTGTTATTATTCATATTATTATATAATTTTTATAAACTTGAAAATTAATAAAATTTTCAAAATGAAATTTTCAGAAAGAAAAATTTTTCAAGTGAAACCGTCTTGCCACCCTATTTTAGAACTTGATAATGGAGAATACTTGTTTAAATCTAATGCAATATGCAGGTAAAATAAAATATTAATATGTTTTAAGAATCTGTTATATTTTAATTAAATATTTATAGATTTTTTTTGTTAATTTACACAAATTTTATAAGTAATCGATGCAACTTGAATGAAATTGAATTTTAAATTATTAACATATTGATAATTAATTTTAAACTACAAATTGATTCCTTATCTCTAGGGATAGCTAATGTTGAGCTAATAATCCATCTTATTTGAAAATTTCATTTTAAAAATCATCCATGTAATGTACCAAATATGTGATAATACAATTTTTTGTCTGGTTAGATTTGTGAGATGATATTTATTTTGTTGAACATTTTACAAGTGTGTTTTTATAATAGCAGTGGTAGCTCTTCAGACGTAATTTGAAACATTTATTTTATTTACAGATATCTTTTAGCAAAAGCTAAGAATGAAAATATTACAGAAAAAGTAGAAGAATGGCTTGAATGGGAAAGTAGTCACTTTCAAGTAAATGAACTCATTATTATTATTAGTTGAATATATGTTATAATTTATTTTTCAAATATTCTGAAAATCAGCCATCATTGCTTATCAACTATGAAAGCATATTTAAAATTCAGGTTTTTAAAACCAAAATCTTATTTATCAATAGAATTCAAACACTAATTAATTATTGATTCTAAAGAATTTTATGTCTTCAAGACACAATAAATTTCTTTATTTATCACTTTTTGATATATATATTTTTTTCATTATAGTGTGATGAAAATTGCAAACTAGATTATTGTAGTAAAATGTCAAATCTGTATCTATAGCTATACTGATATATAAAGTGAGAATATTTGTTTGTTTGTTTGCTAGAGATACTCTCAGAATCTACAAAACAATTTTTAAAATTGTTTTTTATCGGAAAGCTTATTTCTTCCAGATGAACATAGATAGATGCTATATATTTTCATATTAAGAAAGTATGCGTGTAAATGATGTTTTTACTGCAGCATTTCTTTTGCATCATTATTATGAGGACAATCCCCTCCCTGAGTTTCCAGGCAATTCTGGGCACTCAGAACTTTGCTAATTTAGATATAAACAAACAATCAAAGTCAGATTTTCTAATAGCCAACATCTATGAACTGAATTATAAGAAGGTAGCTTAGCTGCCTATCAAAGCCAAATTATGTAATTTGATTATTTAATCATTAATTAATTTAATTATAGGTCAAATATATTGCAGCTTTATAAATATCATAGTCTTAAATTCATTATATGTCTTTGATATTTATATTAAGGAATTTATGGAATCCATCAATAAGTTTAATAAGTGTATACATTGATAAATTAATGCATTAACTTCTGGATAAGATATATATTTTAATATTAATTGAATAAATTCTATGTTTTAGTATCCTGTCATAAGGAATAAGAAAAGATTTCTTAATTTATAATTTTCATATTTTTATGCTAAGAAAACATTATGTAAATATTATTTTCAAAGAAAGTTCATTAAAAGACTAATTTTGAGATACATTGACTGTAATTATTGTAATGATTTAAATTGGATGGGTAGAAATTATTTAACAAGAGATGACAACAATTATATACAGTATAAAAATATGAATAATATATACAAAATGATTAATATGGATTATATGTTCTAATTTATATAAATACAGAATTATAGTGTCATATATTAATTTGTATAAAAATATCTGAAGTATGAAAAGCTACATAGTTACTTTAGGCATCAAATTATATATGATAATTACAAGATATGTTCAAAAAACTTGGGTACAGAATAAAATAAAACTTGTTAGGATATCAAAAAATTTATTTAATATGTTTTAAAATATCTCACTCTGAACTTCAATACATTTTCTCCAAGTCAGAAAACATTTAGAAAATTTTACTACTTTTGGGAATTGCAAACTTCTGTTCAATTTTTCTTGTTTAAGTTCTACTGACTCAAACTAGTTTCCTTTTAATTAAAGTCATTTTTTCTACTTTAGATAAAGTAAAAGCCATTAGGAACTAAATCAGAGGATAAAGTGTTTGCAACAGAATAGTATTTTCAATTTTATAAATTTCAAATTTTTTCATTTTAAAGAGAATTAAGAGTAATTGCTCTTATCCTTTTCTTTTAATAGATTTCTTTCATTTGTCCTGTATGAGTATAATAAACCAAGATAATATTAACATAGTATCATTTGAAAAAAATAGTAAAAAGAGAAATAAGGGAACATTTTGCTATTGTAAAAAAGTAAAAAACAAAAATGTAAATTGACTAAATTTAAATACAGGTATAAATGTATTACCAGAGTGCTGTACGATTATAGATATCACAAAAAAATAAGAAATTGATTTTAATGGAAAGAATATGTTATAAAATAACAATTGATAAACTTATTCCTGTGAATGTGCTGATGAGGATCAAAAGATCAAAATGCATATACAAGAAAAATAAAGAAAATAACAATGTTTTAAAGTATTTTTTTAATACTAGTTTATAGTTTTTAACATTTTACCTGTGAATGTGCTGATGAGGATCAAAAGATCAAAATGCATATACAAGAAAAATAAAGAAAATAACAATGTTTTAAAGTATTTTTTTAATACTTTAAAACATTGTTATTTTTGTTTGATGTTTTAACAAACAAAGAGTAATGTTTTAAAGTATTTTTTTAATACTAGTTTATAGTTTTTAACATTTTACCTTGGATGAAAATTCGGGATAGCAAAAGAAATAGCTAAGATTTTATTCATGTTTTATCAGATTTTATATATTTTTAATATAATTTTAATTAAATAAAAGAAAATTTTGCATTCTCTGAAAGAAGCTGATTTTTCTAAANTTTTAGAATATCTTCATGAATTTAAGAATATTACAAGATGGTTTGATCATCTCAACCTTATGGATTCTTTTTCAAAAGCTGTTAAAACTGTAACAAATGACACCAATGCTAATGTTTTTAAGGTAAAAACATTAAGGTACTTCAATATTTTATAATTTCTAACCAAAATTAGGATAAATTTTTTTGTTGTTGTTTCAAATAAAAAAAGATGTCTATAAAACTGTTTTTTTGTTACTTTAGATTTATTAATTTTCTGTAAAATATAAATTCAGAAATGGAAGAATATTATTTATTTAATTAATAATTTTAAATAACAACTGTTTCGATAATCTCAATTTAAGTTTGCAAATCAAACAATAACAATCATTAATTATTGAAAATGTAATAACAGTATTACTCTGAGGACTTCCTAAAGATTAATGAAGAATAATGATAACAAGAAGAAAATGGTATTAGAGAATAAGTTTAATTATGCCTAGATGAAAAAATAACAGTATTGCATATGATATAAAATATAATAATGATTGTTACAAAAGTAATTTAAAATTTTTAAAATTAATACATTTTACTGATTAATATCATAAATGTTAATATTATTATGGAGTTTTTACTAATAATTAAAATGTTAATTTATATTTAGGTAAACATTCCATGTTTAGCAGATTTGGTCATTTGGTCAACAATATATCCATTGGCTGCAGATAAAAAGTTGTCATCAGGTAACAGATTTCATAATTGATAGGATTATGATAGGAAAATGTTATATCTAAAGAACTCTTTACTAAAACAATATCTCTGTAACAGTTAATTACAGTAAAACCTTACCTATGTGGCTACATTCAGGGTATACAATTTCTTGCCAAATAAGTGAAGTAGTCACTTATGAGGGGTTATAAAAAATGACATTCTGAACTGTAATTAAAATACTGTACTGATTTCTACTAAAAGTTTAATATATAACATAAAAATAAATGAGAATAATGATAATAAATTTGTATAAAACTGTGCATTTTTTGCGATATACAGAAATTCATACTTTCATGCAAGACATTAAAACGAACCTGTATGTAGAAAATAGATTAAAATTGTTAGCTACCTAATGTAATGCAAGCATTTTATCTCAATAAAAATCTACACTTTATTCTAGAGTCAAGAAATTTTTATAGTTTAGTATTATCTGGAAGTTTAAAAATAAAAACTAAAAATGATAGCTTCTTCACTGCATATTATTTCTGGATAAAGAGGATAAAAAGTATATTTTATGTTATTTATAAATTATTAACCCATAAATCTAATTTGATGTAATGTAATATATTGTTTTCATTACATTAGCAATTGTACTGAATAATACAGGGTATATAAACAGTGAATGCAAGCATTTGCAGTAGGGTTTATTCAAGTATTGTACATTATAGTCTTAACTCTAAGTTCTGAAAATTTTTCTTTCTGTTCCTGGAGACAAAATTGTTATCTCTCTGACTACAAGGGGATTTGTATAGAGCTAGTGGAAGGAACGGCAAAACTAGATTGAGGTGCCTCTAGTGGCGACGCGGGGAAACAAAATTGGGGCTACAAATGTGGCATGTGCTTCTCCTTTTCGTAGCATATGAATAATGTTTCTTAGAAGGCAGTGTGGTTTTGAAGCAATATCTACCGAAACCCCGAGAAAAATTAATTTAAAGAAAGGAGAGAAACTGCTTTTTACAGTAAATATTAGTTTGAGTACCCACATCATTACATAACTTTTCACAAAATAAGACTGCCATATTATCTGTACTATAAAGTGGTTCCCCTACATCAGTTTGTGTTCCAGTGTCATGTTTGGTGATCACAGGTATGGTTTCGGTGTCCATATCCATGCTGTTATCCACACTCTCCACCTTTTCTTCTTTCCTTCTTGCCTGTCTTAAAAACTTATCAGCATTTCCACAACCCTGTTTCTTGTAGCATGTTGGAAAAAGTGTGGGAACGTATGCTGGATGGTCAGGGTGCTTCTCCTTTTCCGTCCACCTACCTCCTCCACCGTCCACCTTTTCCGTCCTTCTCAATTTTCCGTCCACCTACAAAATGCTGACTGCAGACTTTACTGTACTTTGTGGGTTGCCAAGGTTTGCCATCTTTTCTGAAAAAAGTGTTTTTAATTTTACATATTATATTACATTACAATTATCAAGCAACTTTGGTCACTTTTTGACTAATGAATTGCTTGAAATGATCTTTAATACTGTCCCTGGCTAATAATGACATCATTAAGCATTTTTTAAATTTTGTTATTTATTATCAGGATTTTAGATTTACAGAAATATGAAATGTTTTGGTATTTTTAATGAGTTATTACTCAATGCACTATGTAAACAATGAGTAGTAATATAAAGTGGACTACACCTATTTACCACTAAAAAAAGACACCCTAGCCATTTACAGAGATCATTGCAATACAATGCCTTTAAATGTCACAGTTATATATATACACACACACAACTTTAAAAAAATACCTTAAATGAAAATACCCAAGCATAATACTTACTCAATCCACCGAATTGCAGTCAGCCATTTCTCTTTGCTTCCAGGGTATTTTTCATTTGGAAATGAATAAAACTTTGTACGTGGCGGTGCAGTAATATATGTAACACTACACCCGACCGCACAACAGATATTTTTTGAAGTTTTGTGTGGCAGAAAGCTGTGATTCATTATACAGAAAGAAAACAAGCACCGTGTTTCACTATATATCTAACCCAAAGATGCACATGTTTTCCCAAAAAATTGTTTTTGCCTGCCTACAGGTGGCACTCAACTCAGTTCCACTAGCTCTATAGCAAAACCAGTCAAACAACTTGCCCTTTGTCAATTTCTTCTCAAATAGATTAAACAGGAAATCAGCCAAAATTGGTTTAAAGAGTTAAATGTGCCTAATGATGAACTATAGAATTTTGATTCATTGTAATATTTTTTAATTTCATATTTTAAAAAATGTTGCTATTTTTAAAATAATTTGGATTAAATTAATCAAAATAAATATCTTTTAAAAATAAAGAATTAATTTGACTATTCATGTGCATTCTATGAGATGTCAAGGGTCTTGATTATAATATCTTGTAAGGCCTAAAATATTTTACATTTTTGAGATTTTGGAATTTTTGGTAACATTTGATGTCATTTGATGATTACTCAAGCATTTCATGTTAGTGAATGAAAGAGTCGGTTTATCAGTAAGACCAATGTAGCTTTATTATATTAGATATTAAAAGTAAATAATTTTANGCAGTTGTCACAATTTCATCCATAATTTCAGTGACATCATTTCTGTCGCTCTGATTGCAGGAGGGACAAGGCTTTCGCCAATCAGAATTCAACTGTTATTGAAACTATTATTTAAAAATATCAAATTTTTCTTTTCAAAACATTTTTAATATCATTGTTGAAAGAAATGGCATGCTTCAAAACACTGATGAAACAATGCTCGAATGTACAATTTCTTGAATTGGTATTCAGAGGCAGAAACTGAACTGTCAACCAGGGAAAGTCTTCCAGCAAATTATCTTCAAGGTCTTTTGGGTGTTCTGGTGCATTGTCCAAGGTGTCATGCTTTTAATGGCACGTCATTGGTCTGAAGGTAATCCTTGATGCTTGGAGCACAAACTTCAAATAGCCATTCTTTGAAAAGAGCCTGCATGACCCATGCCCTTTTATTTGATCTCCACATCACTGGCAGTCATTCTTTAATTATGGAATTTTTTTGATAGGGGTTCTCAAAGTGATAGACTAAAAGTGGAATAAGCTTCATATCACTGCTAGCATTAGCTCCCAAAAGTAACGTCAATCAGTCTTTCATGGGTTTATGCCCAGGAATATTTTTCTTGTATGATGTAGATACAGTTCAGCATGTGCTTCCAAAATTAACCAGTTTCATCACAATTGAAAATTTGTTGTAGACAATATCCTTCTTTTTTAATGAATTCTTCAAATTTGAGACAGAACTTCTCAGCTTCTTCTTTATTTGCACTAGCAGACTCACCGTGAATTACAACATGTTAAAATGACAGATCTCCTTCTAAACTTTTCCAAATCATCCAGTGGATCAATTATAAGGAGTTATAAAAACTATTTATAGACTGTTGTTAATGTTTCAAAATAAACTTGATAAAGTTACATTGTATTTTTATTAACAGCAATAATAATTTTTAATAATAATAACAAAGTTAAAATAATATTAATTATTTCTATGCTAAACAAACTATAATTCAGCTAATATTCTTATACTTGCAAATATATTCTGTCCTTTGTTGTTTGTAATTCATTGTCTTCTATCTTAAAAGTTGAAACAAGAACGAATTTTCAGGTCTAAACCAAAACCATGTGTACACATGAATATTAAATCATGTGACTCAAGACTTGCACGTGATCTTCACATAATATCTGGCAGTTCTGATTAATTCAGTTAACTGCCAATAGGGTCACTAATGTCTACAAAATTTTCTTGTATTTCCTGAGTGAACTCTCTAGATATACTTACTCAATGCCAAAAACAGCACAAGATAAGCAATTTTTCTCCCTCTCGTGAAGTGCACAATTTATTCTGTTTAAATTATTTTGAATTTTTCACCTTCTTGCTTTAAGAAAATTCAATTTTATGATGTGACTTGAGTCTTTTTCTTTTTTAAATAAAATTTATGGATTAATTTAAATAAAATCATTAAATTTTCTTATATGGCAAAGAAATGACTTATCTAATTATGTAATTGATTTTAGACAAACTTTTTCATTTTTTGTAAATAAAGTGTTTTTTTAATAAAAAATTTATATAATTGTGTACAAAAAGAGCTTAAATAAACTTGGCCGAATATTACTTAATTGAAAGGGGAAATGCAGAGACCTCAATAGGTCAGGGAATAATGTCATAATTGGTTAGGGAAAGTCAGGAAATCACAGATGAAATTACTTGTATGAACCTTGTAAATCTGTAAAAATAATTAGAAATACAGTGGGTGATTGGTTAACGAGCATAATTTGTTCCAAGACTGTGTTTGCTATCCTAATTGTTCATTAACCTATTATCAATTTACCATAGATTTTTATGGGAATTTGATTAATTCGTTCTGGAGACCCCAAAAAATAAATAAAAAATTATATACTTTCTTATTATGTTTATTTATATGTAATAATAAAAATACATATATACACAGTCTTGCATTTTTATTAGTCATGTTTTTTCTGTTTGTGGGGTTAAAGAATCTGTCCAATGTCAATTGATTTTCTCTCTTTGGTATTTTTCAGAAGTAATTAATAGCATTGTAATTGTAGAGATTGCCAAGCCTGTTAACCTCAACCTGGTTTGGATGCCATTCTAAGACTGTTGTTCTGACATCCTCCTGCTTCTTCAGAAAATCTTTAATAGCAGATGTCGTTATTAATCCTCTTTTGTCTTCCTCTTTTTTTTAGAAGAAAACACATCTCACTGAGTTTCTTGGTGTTCTTCATTCAAGAGTTCTTGGAGTTCTGTTGTTAGAACAGTTTCAGATTCCATTATGAGCCCTTCAATGTCATCTTTATTCACCTCTAGCAGTTGTCACAATTTCATCCATAATTTCAGTGACATCATTTCTGTCNCATTAACCTATTATCAATTTACCATAGATTTTTATGGGAATTTGATTAATTCGTTCTGGAGACCCCAAAAAATAAATAAAAAATTATATACTTTCTTATTATGTTTATTTATATGTAATAATAAAAATACATATATACACAGTCTTGCATTTTTATTAGTCATGTTTTTTCTGTTTGTGGGGTTAAAGAATCTGTCCAATGTCAATTGATTTTCTCTCTTTGGTATTTTTCAGAAGTAATTAATAGCATTGTAATTGTAGAGATTGCCAAGCCTGTTAACCTCAACCTGGTTTGGATGCCATTCTAAGACTGTTGTTCTGACATCCTCCTGCTTCTTCAGAAAATCTTTAATAGCAGATGTCGTTATTAATCCTCTTTTGTCTTCCTCTTTTTTTTAGAAGAAAACACATCTCACTGAGTTTCTTGGTGTTCTTCATTCAAGAGTTCTTGGAGTTCTGTTGTTAGAACAGTTTCAGATTCCATTATGAGCCCTTCAATGTCATCTTTATTCACCTCTAGCAGTTGTCACAATTTCATCCATAATTTCAGTGACATCATTTCTGTCGCTCTGATTGCAGGAGGGACAAGGCTTTCGCCAATCAGAATTCAACTGTTATTGAAACTATTATTTAAAAATATCAAATTTTTCTTTTCAAAACATTTTTAATATCATTGTTGAAAGAAATGGCATGCTTCAAAACACTGATGAAACAATGCTCGAATGTACAATTTCTTGAATTGGTATTCAGAGGCAGAAACTGAACTGTCAACCAGGGAAAGTCTTCCAGCAAATTATCTTCAAGGTCTTTTGGGTGTTCTGGTGCATTGTCCAAGGTGTCATGCTTTTAATGGCACGTCATTGGTCTGAAGGTAATCCTTGATGCTTGGAGCACAAACTTCAAATAGCCATTCTTTGAAAAGAGCCTGCATGACCCATGCCCTTTTATTTGATCTCCACATCACTGGCAGTCATTCTTTAATTATGGAATTTTTTTGATAGGGGTTCTCAAAGTGATAGACTAAAAGTGGAATAAGCTTCATATCACTGCTAGCATTAGCTCCCAAAAGTAACGTCAATCAGTCTTTCATGGGTTTATGCCCAGGAATATTTTTCTTGTATGATGTAGATACAGTTCAGCATGTGCTTCCAAAATTAACCAGTTTCATCACAATTGAAAATTTGTTGTAGACAATATCCTTCTTTTTTAATGAATTCTTCAAATTTGAGACAGAACTTCTCAGCTTCTTCTTTATTTGCACTAGCAGACTCACCGTGAATTACAACATGTTAAAATGACAGATCTCCTTCTAAACTTTTCCAAATCATCCAGTGGTAGCCTTGAATTCTATCTCCTCGTGATGATTGTGGAGTTTGTTTCTTCAGTTCTTCAAAAATTTCTCTAGCTTTCTCTTGAATGATAATCATACTAGTTATATCTTTTTTCATTTCCTTTTCTTTTATCCAAATTAAAAGCAATCTCTTCATTTTTTCATGAATGGCACATCTTTGTTTCTCAGATGTGATTTTCATTACTCCTTTAACTCCTTGAGTCTTCTTGATTTTATCTTTCTTAGCTAAGATTGTGCCTACTGTAGACCTGTTCAAGTCATACTGCCTAGTAACATCAGACATCTGCCCACTCTCTACCTTGGCTATTATCTCTTGCTTGGTTTCTATGGTGAGCACAGTTCCTGACACTCCACTCTTTTTAGAGTCCATAATATTATCAATTTCTTTTTGAAATAAAAAGTTCAGAAAGGCACTACAAAAATTCAGAGAATGGAAATCAACTAGCACATGAAAAAATTATGTAAATGTGAGGCATGAATGAAATTTGAAATTTTGGTGTTAAAATGTTAACGAATATCCAATAGGACAGTTAAACGCTCACCTTTAGAAAATAAAAGCCTAGGCAAAACTTAACAAGTGCCCAACAGTCTTGTCACGATTATAAAAAATTATTTGTCAGAAAAGTAAACAAAAAGCTGGAATTACAGTTGAGAGTTTCAAAGTTTGGTGAAATACTGTTCGATCGGTATCGGGTTGAGTATCGATGTTGATGTTTCCTGCACTCCGAAAGGTTTTGAATTGTAACCTGAAGACAAGGAAAAATCAATTGGTATTTGTTATTTTCTGTCGCTTCTTTTTATGTATGTTCTGTGAAGTGTTGTTGTCCGAAAATAAAAATCTTTTGCGAAAGTGTTTGTTATCCGATTTGTTTACTACAGTCTTGTGAAGTGTTGTTGTCCGAAAATAAAAATCTTTCGCGAAAGTGTTTGTTATCCGAACTGTTTGTTAACTGATCACCCACTGTATAATATAAAGTAAGAAAGGATATGATAAAATTTCTTCCAGCAGTAAAAATAAATATTAAAAAGTTTTATTATGAATATTGTATTTACATTAATTTATATAAGCCTACAAACTATATCGTTTATATTTTAAAAATTGCCATAAAATTGAATAAATACACAAAATTATTATTATATTTTATATGTACCATCTTTGGGGCACTTGTGCAGTTTAGGGGTACGGAAGTTTGAGAGGTTTTCTTTCATAAAATTAATCAAATCTAGACTAATTTCACTCGAATATTTCCAAAATACGGAAATGATGTTGGAAATGATCACTACAAACTATATCGTTTATATTTTAAAAATTGCCATAAAATTGAATAAATACACAAAATTATTATTATATTTTATATGTACCATCTTTGGGGCACTTGTGCAGTTTAGGGGTACGGAAGTTTGAGAGGTTTTCTTTCATAAAATTAATCAAATCTAGACTAATTTCACTCGAATATTTCCAAAATACGGAAATGATGTTGGAAATGATCAATATAAAATATGCTATAAACAAAAAATTGTCGGAATACTTACCGAGTGTAACTCATTCGAAGATGTCATTGTTTGAGCTTGATGTCATTGCGGAGCAGTACATTAGATGGTTGTTGCTATTCAGTCATGTGACTATTCATCTCTGACATGTTTCCTGATAACTTACTCTTTTTGTGAAGAATTTGCCGAACTATGGAGACATCATTAACAGAAATATTAAAACATCATTCCATTTTAAATATGGATTAAAATTAACATGTAATAACGTACGATAATGCAATATATAACTAATAATTCTGCTCAGCTTTTAAATGGCCTAATTTCTTTAATGTTTTAAACAAAATTGAATTATATTTTGTTGGTGCACAAGAATAGTGACACAACTCAAAAAAATAGTTCTTCCAGAACAGTCACTTAAAAGTTTCTTGTTTCCTGCAAGGCTTTGTCATGATCTTGGATTTTTAAAATTTTCAAATCTATTTTGGAAATAAATATTAATGTTCGTTCTTCCACATAAAAATATGGGGAGTTTGCTATACATTTCTACAATAAACTCGAAATTGGAAATTTTTGAGTTGTGTCACTATAACTCTGAGTTGTGTCACTACTAACGATTTATTTACATCAAGACATTAGACATCTCTTGTTGCATCTGACTAATATTTATTATCATAATATATATATATATTATGATAGAACTATTGTCGTTAGCTAACGACAATATAATCAATAATAATAGTAAGTAGTTTTTCTAATTACAATAAAAATACAATAATATATTATGATCTATCATGTGATGTCTCCAAAGTTCAGCAAATTCTTGGCAAAAAGAGTAAGTTATCAGAAACACGTCAGAGATGAGTAGTCACGTGACCAAATAGCCCCGACAATCTCACATGACACGCTTCATATGCGTCCTCCATCTAATGTACCACTCCGTGACGACATCGAGCTCAAACAATAGCGTCTTTGAGCAGGTTACACTCAGTAAGTATTCGGACAATTTTTTGTTTATAGCATATTGATCATTTCCAACAAATTATATGTGTTTTGGAAATATTCGAGTGAAATTAGTCTAGATTTGATTAATTTTATGGAAGAAAACCTCTGAAACTTCTGTACCCCCTAAACTGCATAAGTGCCCCATATTTGCTAAATTCAAGTAAATAATATAAATTTTCTATTTTCAAAGGAATCTTTGCTAACAAGTTTTAAACATCTGCATTTCCAAACAAAGTATTTATGTGATAATGAAGTTATTTCAGTTTCAAATCAGGATGAAGAAGAAAAGGTATTTTTTCTGTTTTAATTCTGATTTTTAAAAATATTCTTATATAATTTATGAAGTAATAACTGAGTCAATTCAGCTCTTGTCATTAATTATAATTTATATATTATAGTATTAAATTTCAATTTTGTTTTGATTATAGTTTTCTTTTTAATTATTGACAAAAGTTTAAGTACTGTAGTTATAGAAGACAAGGAGAAATCATATATTGAATGCTCTTTAAGATATTTTATTCTATAGAAAATTAATAGTATTTATTTTTAAAATAAATTATTCATAAAATATAGCTATTTTTTGACTTCGAACTCAAATGTGAGTTATAAATAAACACTTGGCTTTATTTCCATCACTTTTTAATTGATACGTGACAACTGCACGTTTCGGGCATAAAGCCTCTCATCAGTCAACTAAAAGATACAATTTTTAAAAATATTACATAAAATATCTAACAAAACAGAATTAAAATAATGTATATTTCTTACCATATCCATTTTTAATCTGTTATACATACAAGGTCTTAACCCAATAGGCACACACAACTTATTTTACAATAAGTGGAGTAATTTCATTAAAATCTGCTATAAATGATCTTTTACTTATTTCACAATATCCAGGAATTTTATACATAATCACATATATATCTCGAAAGAGAAATATATTTACAAAACACAGTTTCAAAAACAACATAGCTATTTTTATTGATATTACTTCACATTATAATTGTAATGCACTTCTCAAAATATTTATTTGTAAAAATATAGGTTTTTAAGAATTATAAAATAGCTAATTTGAAAACTTTAATCTTCTCTATCATCTAAACTTATTTTATTAATGTAATATTTATAATTGAAAATTTAATATTGTAAACTTCATGTTATATACAACAAAACAGTTATATTCTTCAATAACTGTTTATTCAAAATACATATTGTATTTTATTCCATAAACTGTATACCAAACAGTATTTATTTTTTAGTGAAAAATTTATATATTTTCAATTACATTAGGAATAGTGTTGCAACAATAAATTTCCTCACCATAATTAACAGTAAAACCCTGATTAAAATACATAAATACAATGATTAAAATACAACAAAGCAATAAACAACAAGTATATAATATAAAATTATGAAAAAGAAAAGAAAAGTAAGAATTGTATAGTATTCTTGTACAGTCCTTTTTTGAAATGGTAATAATCAATGTTAATATTTTGTCATTTGTAATGTGAAAATTATTTAATATTTTACAATATTTAGGACATTGATGCTCCAAAATTTTATAATATATTCAATCTATTTAAATTTTGGAATATGAATCAAAAACAATCCAGTGTGAACAATTTTTGTTCCATTGAAGTGTAACATTGCAGCCTGCAAGAATAGACTTGTTTTCTGTGAATTGGTGTATGATGTTCATTGTTATGTGTTCCATGAGTGTGTTCTTCAAGTTTACTTACTGTCTTGTTGAATCTTTTCTAATCTTTTAAGACTTTCTATTATAAAAATTGCAATTTTTCTGTTGAATAAAAATGCTGTGCTTCTCATGGCAGTCAACGTGTTAATGAATTTTCATTTTGAGTTGGATAAATGGAGTTCCATTATATAGTCGACCCCCCCATAAGATCATAGATACGTTCCATTCTTCAGGAATCCGATTTCTTACGAGTCCTTCCAATCACAGCCCGACACGTGAGAAGTTTACGGACTACGGCTGATTGAAAGGTTTTCTTCCATAAAATTAATCGATTCTAGACTAATCCGACTCAACATTTCCAAAATACGTATATTTTTTTGGGAATAATCCATATAAACTACGCTATAAACAAAAAATTGTAGGATTACTTACCGAGTGTGCACCATTCGACATCGCCATTGCTCAAGCTTGTTTTCGTCGCGGAACAGCTCAGCAAACCGCGGCCGATTTCTAATAACCTATTTTTCTGCAAAAAATTCGTTGAACTTTGGAGACATCATTAATATAAATAATTTTAATCATCGTTGAATAAGAAATGTTCTTTCACAAGAAATGTATAAAATTACAGTACTGTATTAGACTTACGGTACCTAATTTACATACTGTACAGATGATAGTTAGCCTAAACTCTCCGTAGCGTGGCGCTACGCGGCGAAAAATATATATTTAATTATAATAAAGTTACAATAAATTAAGTTAATATATAATTATATATACAGTACCTAATTTATATATAATTAATATATAATTATATGTACAGTACCTAATTTATATATAATTTATATAATACTGTCCAGACGATAGAAATCTCTCCGTAGCGTGGCGCTACGGACGGCGGGTAAGTAGTTCGGCTGCCCGATGACGTTTTACGTATTATAGGAGTTATTTTTACCGTTGTTTACGGATAATGCCACAATTTTTATAGGAATCATAACTATAGGAAACGCTTTTATAGGGGGATCTACTGTACTAATTACAAGATACATTAAATATAGAACCTAAATGTTTAATCAAGAATAGTGTTTTAGTTACTTTTAAAATTTCCTTCTGGAAATTAGTCTTCAAGTATTTAAATTGCAAAAAACAAGACATGAATACATAATTAGAATTTTATTTTCTATTTTAAAAATTATTTCAATTTAACAGGTTAAAATAACTGAAGAAGAAAAGGAAAAGGCATATAACTATTGGCTAGAAGGCGTTAAATGTATTCCTGCTGTAAAACCACTTATTGATCCAATGTAAGTTAAAATGTAATTAAATAATAAAAATCAATCTTATCAATTAACCTTAACTGATAAGATTGTTTTTAAACTTAAAATTATTTTAAAGCTTACATTAAAGTATTAAGATAGTTAAAATTATTAAGGTGGCAAATTTTGAGAAATTTTCTTATATTTTGACATAACAAATATTATTCTATTGAACAATCTCAATAAAAAATTATTTAATGTATTGGTTACATTACATATTACTATTTTAAAGTTTAACACATTTGCATTTGAGAAAACTTTACATCAGATTAATAATACAGTAAAGCTCTAAATCTCAAATTTGAAGGGACCAAAAAATGGCCAGTATAGAGATGTTTGAAAAATAAAAAAAATTTATATTCAAATGCAAAATACAAAGCAGTATAAGGAATACAATAATTCTGTGATGTATCATATTTATTTGAATCATTATTAGAACAATGTATGAGGCTGTAATAATAATTCAAACAAGTAAAACAGCAAAACTGTATTTGGGACAAGACTGTGTCTCAGAGACTTACTACTAAGCAGAATCACTTTGATGCTCAAGGCGGGTCTCGTTCTCATTCTCCAATCTTCTTTGGTATTGCTGCTTTTGGGCGCAGTCATTCAAACTTCGTTGGCCATGACCACTAGGTCATCCACAATATATTTTCGATGAAATTAACCTATTCAATTTCGAGATTTCTCTTTGTTGCATGTTGGCCCGGGTTGAATTTTTGTTGAGCATAACGAAAATTTCTTATTTTTGAAAAAAATAATTGTGGCTATTGTATCATCCGAAATTATTTTTTTATTTTGCACAAACAATATACAGTTTAACCCGATTATAATGTCATCCGATGTAACAACAATCCTAATATAACTATATATATATATATATAATCGTGGAACCTAATAATATTGGTTCCACAATTTTACTATACTAGATAGTGTTAAAAAAACCTACTTGTAATATAAAACACTGTTTTAATGCCCTATTTGAAGCACTCCCAAATTTACAAAATTAGATTACAAATTTTATTTAACAAAGAAAATACTACGTGTTCAGTCCTAGGGTCAGAGTCCACTTCCTAGAACAACTGTAGGCGGGACTCTCACCACTTGACTTCGATTTGCCTGTTTGTAGAGAGAGGGCCCATTTTGTATTTTATTTTGACTCAGTTCTTGGTTCCCTGACTACCTATAAGTCTGGTTTTTTTTATGTGCGCATGATTTGGGCACTTAATACTCTGTGACAAATATCAACTGTCGACATGTACTTCTTCATACCTCTAAGCTGGTAACATGGCAGGCAGTATGATTTTATAAACAAGATATATTCTTGTTAATAAATATAATGAATTTAGACATATCACAAAATGATTTCTCTAAGCTATACTGAATTTATTCAAAAATCAAATTTTTTATAATACATTACATCAAATTTCAATATTCTCATTAGATCTGGTCAGTGGTGATATTCGAAATATTTAACGAAGGGTTCGCTAACAAAAAATTCTTCCTTAACAATTTTTTTGCTCAAATGGTGCATTAGCAACATTAACACAAAAACTGACCTTAAGATACCCATATAAATAAAAAAGATGCGTTCGCAAAATTAAATCAGTTAAAATTTAACATTGTTTATGCCAGAACTATATTTTTTTGATAAATAAAAAAAAGTGTTCAAAATGGTTTATTTTGTACATATTTTAATATTTTTCATTCAAAATATTTTATAAACATAAAAATTCTCAAGAAAAAACTTTCCTAAATCATTTATTTTATCATTAGGTATTATTATAATAATAGATAGATGTCATCGTCTCTCGAAATACAATATCTTTTTTATTTCGCTGTCGATAGCCGGACACGTGTTCCACAGCCATCTTGTATTTTCTTGCGCGCATGGGATTGTGGGATCTGTCGTGTGACTGGACCTAGTTTCAAGAAGTCTCTCGAGTCGATTGCGATTGAACCTTGTTTCAATCGCGAACCTGTGCAAACCTGCTGAATATCACCACTGGATCTGGTGGATTTTCCACTAAAGTGACTTTAATATACAGGTAACCCCCATATAACATGGCACTTCTATAGCACAGATTCACTCTAACATGGTTTGAAAACCTTGTACAACATGAAATGTAATAAATTTTCACATACTTAAGTACCCATAGTTCATGAAAATTATTACTTTTGTGAACTATTAGTACTTAAATATGTAAATTTTCTTTTCCCACCTTCTGTTGATACACGTGGTCCTTCTTGAAACTTGTTTCAGTGTTGCCAGATCTCAACGCTTCTGATTTTGGTGTTGCCAGATGTTTTTTTCTTATTCCATACTTGCTTTATTCTTCATAAGTGCTTAGCACCATATAAGGAAATTTATAAAGATCTTTTAAATAAAAGCAAGCAATCTAAAATAGCATATTTTTTGCGTAAGGTAGAGCATGGATCTGAAGATAATGCAGAAAAATGCTCAGAGGATAAGGATATCTTGCCAAAAAAGAAAATACCCTTGGTTAATAGTGCTTAGTGATGACAAAGAAAACATTGTTTAATTTATATTAATATGTATCATTTAAGAAAATTTTAATAAAGATATTTATCTTAATTATGAAAATATAATAGCATGTTTTTTAATTTTTGGAACCTAACACCCCCTTTTCATACTAGTTCTTTGTTTCGCATAATATGGCAATTTTTTGGAACATAACTCCCGTGTTATACGGGGTTAACTGTATCTGTATAACTAATCCAATGGCAGTCTATTTCAAATAAAGCAGACTGTCATTGGCTTTCTTATCCAACTTCATTAAAGCTATTTTACTATACTACGTGTTGAAAGTATTCACAGAACTTAACAGCTTGGCTGGCTTTCACTGAGTTCAATTACTCAAATTAAGACAGACAATGTTAAGGTACCTGAAACTTTGTTCAACTTTAGGAGTAGAAAAATATATTATAGTAGGGTATTCACCAAGACTGATAATCTAGTTTGACTTAAGAAGGGATTTGAGATTAGAGGTTTTATTGTATGTATGAAAAACAGTCTTTCATTACATAGAAACTTTTTCAATTTTAGAAATATTTCAGAATTATAATAGTTATAATGCTGATCATTTTAGTTTTAATGTTTCATCCAAGATTACTTATAATTGAAATTTTTAACAGTCTCATACAGATGAGGGGTCACCTTGTGACCCCAGCTCATATTTTTGTTTATATTATAGACAAATATTAATTTTTGAATTTGAAGTTTTTTTTAGTTTTATCCCTTATGGTTTGTAAATACTTTGGAGTATATTTGACAAAAATCAATGGATTGTTGCTTCCCTGTGAATACAGTAAAAACTGCTTAGGCGACCACCTGCATTTGATGGGCACCTGTCAAAAACCTGGCAAAAATTTTGGTACGGAATAGTTTATACATAGAGTCTTTGTAAAAGTTACCTGTATTAAATGACCACCTGTGTAACGCAACTGCGGGCATCAATTTTTGGATGGAACAACATACAACAACTGTAATAAATGACCACTTCTGCGAATATATGTGGTCTAAACTATTGTTCGAACCCATCTCAACAACGTTTCCCCCTCCTAGTATAATAAATTAGTCTAAACTCTTGTTTGAACCCACCTTGAGCACTTCTCCCACTCTTGAAATTAGGCACAGGTGTTAATGGATTAGTCCAGCTACAAAGGAAATTCATTTCAGCTTGTTCAAAAATGTCAGAAAAATGAAAGAAATGTGAAATGCTGTCATTAGAAGATCATGTTAAAGTTATTAGAGAAAGTTAAAATGGTTTATCACAACAGCAATTAGTGGCAAAGTTTAACTGTGGGAGAGAAAATGCAATTTATTGTACTGTAGACCTACAGTATTTTCCTTAGGGGTATAAAATATTGTACATGATACAGTTAATCGGCTGATCTCATTGTTTGATATAATTTATTTTATTTATTTATTTTTAAGTTTGTATACAGTACATGTGCAATAAACAGTTTATGTATCAACCTACCTTATTTTCGCAATATTTTTAGAAAAATAATATCCAAGTAATTTTTGTACACAAAATATTCAAACAATAAACACATTAACGTAAAAATCAGTTTTACAGGCAACTTCCTTTTTCAACTCCATGATTGTCATTGATATAATGAAATCATATTATGAGAAGAAATAATAGAATCGTTTTATTATTAATTAATAATTTTTCTTATTGTACTTAAGAAAATATTAAATATTTTTTTAAAAATACTGTATTTTTTTAAGTTAAAATAAGATTAAATTAACGAAAACCAAAGCCAAAGTGGTGGAGAGATGCATTGCGCTTCTGTATCGATGACATAATACTGAGAAACAAATGAAGAGAACCAAGTTGAATTAATTAAGTCAGAAAGAAGAAAGTGTGCGTTATAATCAAGAAAATGCGAATAGTGTATTAATCTTTAAAATATTAGTATTAAATCTGTCTTATAAAATCATGACAACTCCTGTTAATCGAGTTATTTGATAAGAATAAAATACAATACCAATATAGCTCTATTATTGAAAAAATTCACTTATTTTTGCTCAACTTGAGTTTTTCTTAGTAGAAATGGCTAAAAAGTGTGCAAAATACTTATTGAAATACGATATTACAGCACCACCTGTCTTTTGAAAGGAACCATGTGTGGTTACCAATAGACAGGTTTTATACTGTATTATATTATTTTGATTTGAGGAATTGTAATTCTGACTATAGTAGTAACTATAAAGTGTATTTAGTGTATTTATTAATAATAATTATTCATTATTATAATTCAACCAAAGCAGGTATTGATACACTTGACAAATATATTAGAACATATAGCTGTTAGTGTGGGACAAGAAGATGGCCAATGGCTGTATTTTTTAATTTGATTATGTAGTCACATATAATTCATATATGCTTTATTGCAAGGCAAATGAATCTTGGGCAAAAGATATCTAAAATGTGAATCATGTCTAAAAGTCTTTTTGA